TATATATAGAACACGTTTGGCTTTTATTTTTAAAAGCATCATCAGTTCACTACAAATAAAAATAAAAAAGATTTTAAAATATAAGTAAACAACCAAAAGGGTTCACTTACGGGTACTTACAAAAACAATTTGTATGTTTTTTTTAGATGTTATAAAAACTGTACGATAACTTAAGATTAAAACTTAACAACTGAACGAGAGAAACGAAACAAAAAAACAAAAAAAGACAAGAAAAAACTGTAAGAGCAATATTGTTTATTTAATTTTGCTTGCACGCTAATCTCTTCGATTGTTTTCTATCGGTTGTAGGATGTCATATTATTATGTTGAATATATTTTAAATTTAATCAACGGTCGTATATTTTTTGCTATATCTGAAACTTTTACAACATCTATATTGGAATCAAAAAACTTCTATTTTAGTAGACGGCAAAGAAACATACCAAATTTGTATTCAAAGAGGTGTTAGACATGGTTGTATGTTATCCCCAACTTTGTTTAACGTTTACTCAGAAATAATTTTTATCGAAGCCTTGAAAGGGCAATGTGGTGTTCGAATCGGGGGAGAAACTATTAACAATATTAGAAATGCAGATGACACCGCGATCATGGCTGAAGGTCTTAAATTCTTTATAGATCGAGTCACTAGAGAATGCTCTAATAACGGACTAAGCAAAAATACAACAAAGACAAAGTTACTTGTGGTTAGTAAACAAGACCTCGACGCTATACAACTAATTGTCAATAATGAACCGATAACAAAAGTTAACCATTTTAAATATCCAGGATGTTGGATAAATGAGACACTAAATCCGGTGAAAAAATTAAAACTCATATAGAAATTCCAAGTGGAGCATTTATGAAACTTAGATCTATTCTGAACAATTCTTAGCTGAATATACAGCTGAGAATTAAGTTCCTTAAATGTTATGTGCATTCTGTATTGCTGTACGGATGTGTAATCTGGATTATGAAGGTTAACATGACAAACAAATTAGAAGCTTTAGAGATATAGTTATATCGTAGAATGCTCAGAATATTAAGGGGTCAACACATTTCAAACAGAGAAGTCTTGAACAGAGTAGGGGGCATATAATAAGATATATCTGGGGCATATATTAAGAGAAAGCAGATACAGGATAATGCAGTTGATACTCAACGGAAAGATCGACGGAAAAAGAGGGTAGGAAGAGATTGGTAGGAAGAATACTCATGGCACCAAAACCTTCGTCAATGGACTGGCTTATCAGCGCATGAAATATTACATGCCGCGCAAGATCGAGAACGATATCGCCAAATCGTCATGTAAGCTACCCACACCTAAAACTTGGACACAGTACTCAAAGAAGAAGAAGCAGGACTTTGCGAAGATACTTCTTTATTACGAAGTTAGGATGTTATTACTTAAGAATCTAATGGTACTGGCGATATTTGCATAGCTCTGTGGTTAGAAGAAAGCAGTGTAGCATTCAAGAATGTATGGACAACAACTAGCGGGAGGTTATATCCCCTATTGTAACATCTGGAACTAGAGGTTGAGAAAATCTTCACCACTGTACAACGCTGTCACCAAATGTAATGTACTGGGAACACCACTGTCGCCAAATGTACAACTACTGGGGCTCCGCTGTCACCAAATGTAATGTTCTCGATATGAACCTTAAGGATGCTTATCCCTGCGAGCGGCTGCAAGGAATACTGGTCCACTAGTCTGGAGAGCTGGCTCGCCTTCGTAGACTTACGATAAGGTAAGGAACTTCGGAATAGGGGTTAAGGACTTCTAGGTCTCAGGTCCTGTAAAGAGTTTGAGTCTATGGGCTTACTTTAGAAGCCGGATAAATGTATAAGCCGAAATTTGGTACTCTTCTGGTTTCTGTCTGAATCGGTCGGAAGGAACATAAAACCAATTTTAGAGTCTACAAATGTATTGAATATACTATGTGGTTTACAATTAAGTTAACAAACTGTAAGGGGTGACAATCTGTAATACTATAATTTACTCGGGTTAGTATATAGAATTTTGTTACCTTTCGCGTATTTAGGTTCTAGCTAATGATACGCCCTTCAGTTCCTCCGGAAATCGGATTTCTTTCAGTGCCCGACACTTATACGGAACTATACCCCGTCGAAATATAACAATCGCGCGTAATCCGCACCTGGTGATACTCTCGTATTAACCACTCTGCCCGAAGACACCGACTGCCTGCGCGTACGGAACGCTATCGCGTCCGACCCGATGCCGGCAATACTGCCTGAGCAGGCAGTCACGGTGCCCAGCTATTACTGACTGCCTCCGCCGTACTACTGACTGGTGGTTGCAATTTTTTTAGTTTTTATGTCCCGCGAACATTCCTAGTTTATTTTGCTGATTCTGCTGTACTGTTTCACGTGTTGGAATGTAACATGCGATGGTGTGTTGCTTCGTTGTATTATTTTCACGAAGGTCTTCAGATTTCGTAATTATTAAACATTCGGGCTTGTGTCAAACTAGGTCAATTATTATTATTTGTATAATTAAAAATGTATACGTTACTGTATTTAATATTGAATATATAATAAAAAATTGAATGATTATTATTCTTCCTATGCTACTAGCCCTTATTTTTTCTATTCTTTATTTTCTTGCTATGTTTACATTACAGGAACAACCAATTATCCTAAATAAAAGTTCTGATTACCTACATGAGTTTGATTTGCTGAATTTGAAAAAGTGTTTTGATTTAAAAACTGAAATAATTGTAGTACTCCAACTTGGAATTCACAATTTTGATTGTCGTTGAGATTTTGTAAATAAGATACTATTCCAGCAAATAATGCTATATATCGATCTCTAAAATTTTGATGTTTTGCTCTTAGAACTGTTTTCAGTGCTGCAATTATGCGTTCTTTAAATGCAGTTATCCTTTTTTTGGAATTTGGTTGTATTTTTGGTTCTTCAGTTTTTGTTGTTAGTGTTTTATTTTCAACAGACAATTGTTTTTTTTGTGATATTTAATCAAATCCATCTTTTAAAATTCTGTGTTTTTATTTTTCGGTTCTTATAGTGATCTAAAGTTTTATCCCATAACACCGGCCGCGGTTCAAGAATATTGATGATAAGCTCATTATTACTTTCCATATTCATTTTTTTAAATCTACATTCACTAACAATGTTTGCTTCCAAGCATAATTCACGAGTCTTTTCACCAATGCACAAGTTTAAAAACTAGACTAGACTTGCTTGTAACACTACAGTCATTTACGATCCCAACATCGTGTCTTCGCTGTGAATCGATTAAAATCGTGTAGTGTGAAAGCTTATATTTAATCAGTGAGTTAACTGCTATATACGATATCGTTGCCGTACACGACTACGACAAAATATAGTACCGTCTAAAAGAAGACTAACGAGATTCTTTTGCAGCGGATAGGAAAAGTTATGGAAGTGGTCACAACAGTCAAAACTCACAAACTAGAATATTTTGGCCATGCTATGCGTTCTCAAGAGAGATATAATATACCTTATTTAATAATACAAGGTAAGATATATAAAAGAAAAGGACTAGGTCGAAGACGAACGCCATGACTTAAAAATCTGAGAGTGGTTTAAAAGATCCTTTGCATCCCTTTTCTGAGCTGCCATCAACAAAATTAGTATATCCAATTTGATAGCCAACGCATGAAAATCGAGCAGACACGAGAAAAAGAAAGAAATCTTTTAAAGTCTCCATTATTCTGTCTTTGATATAGATCTAAGTATTTGCAGGAACTAAAGAAAACCTTTCTTTTAAACTTCTTCTTCTTCTTCTTCTAGTTGCATGAACGTTATCGATCGTTGAATATTATGTCGGTTCAGGCTTTCCCTGAATGATCAGGTGTTAAAGTTCATATTTTTCAGGGTGTCTCATAATGTGACCGAAGAATTCTAGCTTGCGTCTCTTTACTATATTGAACAGTTGTGTTGTTTGGCTTAAGCGTCCAAGGAGCTATTTATTTTTAACTATGTCGACTCAGTTTATTCGAAAAAGTCGTCTATATAATCACATATCAAAGGCTTCCAAGCATTTAAGTATCACCTGACTTAGGATCCATGCTTGCACTTCATACAGTAGCACTGGAAAAATATAGCAGTATGTCACTAGAACGTGAAGGTCAATGCAAAGATTGTGGCTGCAAAGTAAGATTCTCATTTTGACAAAAGTGGCTTGGGCTTATTCCATACGGCTTTTAATTTCTACGGTTGGATCACACCTGACATTGATATTACTGCACGGGTTTGTCTACTCTGTCCAGCACGATATTTCCGACTTTGATACCGTCAGCGTCATCCTGTATATAGTTTTTTTGCTAACTATTTATATCTAGTTTTCTTAACGTTGAGTGTAAATACATACTGATTACATGTTTGTTTTATTTTGTTCATTAGATTCTGAAGGTATTCTCTGCAACTAGCAAGCACCAAGCACTAAGGTATCGTTGGCATATCTAATATTGTTTAAGGTTACACCATTAAAAATAATACCTTCTGTTGTCTCCATTGGAGCTTCCTTAAATATTTTTTTCATTAATTAAGTCTTGTTGGAATTCATTGATTTTTGAGGAGTTTGTGGACGCGAATTTTTCTGACGTGTCTGGCGTTTAATATTAGGCGTTAAAATTCACTCAGCTTATACCTAAAATTAATTGGAGAATAAGATACTTTTGAATAATTTTGTTTTATACTAAAATTTAAATACTACAGTAAACTACTCTAATATTATATTAGTTACCTGATAATTATATATTTTGTTTCTTTATATATATATATATATATATATATATATATATATATATATATATATATATATATATGGCTAGTATGTGTGTTTTCAGTTTATGTAATTGATAAGCTAATTGGCTAATATTATTTTATTTGTTCCATACAGACTACAATTGTCACGAAACTAAATAATCTGATTATTTTGATTTGACTACTTGCATGTTGATTATTTTTAAATTTACATTTTAATTATATCTTTCAGAATGGGTGAAAACGTTCCCAAACCAGAGAACACGACCAGAATCCAATGTAAAGGAGGAACATTCGAAGGAGAACTTATCTGCTGTAAAGTTAATGGAACTGAAAGTAGTACTGAGAAAGTAATTCCGGATAAAAACCATGATAATGCCACTGTTGATCCAATGCATCAGTGCGGAACTCAGAGAACCAAAATTAATGTCAGAATTATTACCGATGAAGACAGCGATGAAGAAATCAATCCACTCGATGGAGAGTTTCCATGGATTACTGCTATTTACAGGAAAAATAAGCAAGGAAAATGGTATTTTTATGCCAGCGGAACGCTGATACATCCCAAAGTCATTTTGACAGCTAATCACTATTTCAATAGGTACAAAAATTTAATTAATTGATAATAAACTTTATATAATATTAATTTTAAGCAAGAACTTTTAAGTAGAAATACCAATTTCCGACCATATACCCCAGTCGTTCATACACCAAAAATTATACGAATAAACTGAACTTCGTAGAAATAAATGTTTCAAATAAAAAAAAGTAGCTGAGATAATTTTAAACAAAAATATTTATTAGCACTTTTTATGTAGAATTAACCGTTCCCTTACGGAACATTTTTGGTATTTTTTAGGATTCTGATTAAGATCAAACCTATAGCATTAAATTTTGGTTTTGATTTTGAGGCATTTAAAATATTCCTAAAAAACGCTGAATTGAAATTTTCACAATACAAACAATCTAAAGCGTTTAAAAATGCTTATTTTTGATTATACAAGTGCGTTTTTCGAAATTACACAACTTTAGTTATAAATTTCACTCAATACCGTCTTCTTCGAAGCATTTCCTGTGACGTGCGATCGTTTGTGAAAGTTTAAATTCAGCCTTTTTTGGCATATTCCAAATGCCTCATAATTTTTGCCAAAACTCATATTATACGTTTTGAAGAACTCTATCAATGGACATTTTACAGTGACTGGTCAATGGAAGTGACAAATTTTATTGATCTCATGAGAATCGTAAAAAATTACCAAAATCTCGCAATGTTTATTGATTTTACAGGTTTACAGAAACTAACTTTATTTTCAACAAAATAGAAAAATTGCATACGAAAACTGTACTCTTCACCTTTAAAACGCATTTTGATACTTGTCGATAGGCTACTCTAATCAAAAGGTATTGTCCTTGTCCTGACTGTAAAAATTTTTAGTCCGGTCCAGTCGATAATTTCGCGCGCGTAACTGATATTGAAAATCACCGGCCACTTCAAGCATTGTTTCTGAGAGAAATATTTTTTGAGTGCCAAAATTCACATTCTCGGTAAAGTTTAGTCTTGTTTTTAGATATGACGGATACTGACATATTAACGGTCATATTTTGGCGGGTAGGTGGGAAATAAAATACCACCCATGAACCAAAACAGGCTGGTATGACAACCAAACAGAGTCCCTAGCCCTCCAGGTTGGGGGTTAAGCTAGAAGCTAACAACCTCTTCCTGTAAAAATCGATGTCACGGAACCTCAAGAACTATTTTAGCCGGACGGAACTTACGACGACGACTCTTTTCGGAAACGAAAAATGGAATTAAGATTAGGAACATGGAACACCCGAACCCTGTATTGAGCTGGAGCACTCGCATCTCTACTAGACATAGTGAACATGTATAGAGTAGATGTTTTGGCACTACAGGAAATGAGATGGACGGGAACAGAAATTCTTGACAAGAGAAGCCATTCCATATATTAAATTTGCAATGAAAACCAACACATAGATAGAGTGGGATTTATAGTAAACCAAAGAACAAAAGGCCTAGTTATTGATTTTAAAGCCTACAGTCAAAGAATGTGCTATTTACGCTTAAAAGGTCAATTCTTTAATTACAGTTTAATCAATGCACATGCCCTGACCTACGACAAACTAGAAGACATTAAAGAACAGTTTTTCGAAGACCTAGAACAAGCCTACAGAGGATGTCCCAAAAATGACATCAATATAGTGCTAGGTGACATGAATGAAAGAATAGAACGGGAGCGAGTTTTTAGATTTAGAGCGAGATTACGACTGATAAACTTAGCAGCAACACTGAACATGACCGTCGCTAGCAGCTATTTTGAACACAAGAATATACACAAGGTAACCTGGACCTCCCCTGATGGAAGAACAACTAGTTAGATTGATCACATCTTAATAGATTCTAGACACGGAACGGACATAATGAACTGCAGAAGTTATAGATGCGTAAACATAGATTTAGACCACTGTTTAATGATCTCAACACTAAGAGCTAGAATTTCAAATTCCAACAAAGAAAAAAAAATAGATAGAAAGAACTAGAATGTACAGAAGCTGAGAGATGCAACTATTGCAAGACAGTACTGGGAAAATATTACCAATAGGTTAAGGAATCAAAGTCTAAGCGAAGAAGACCAGAGAGATATAGACACCTACTGAAACAGGATAAAGGAAGATAATGACTCAGCAGCACAAGATGAAATAGGAACAGAAACTTGTTGCCGAAAAAATCACTGGTATGACGATAAATGCAAAGACTCAACACAGGAAAAAAATGAAGCCTATGCAAAAATGCTTACCCGTCGAACTAGAACAAGAGTAGAGAATTACCAGACAAAGAGAAAAGAAGAAAAGAAAATACACATAATAAAGAAAAGAAACCACTGAAAAAGGAACTTCAATAATATAGAAAACTTCAACAGAGAGAAAGAATTCAGAACATTCTATAACCTCCTGGGGCCTAGTGTCATATATTTATAACATAAAAATCAAACTTTTCTAGTGACGCCATCTCACGTAATTTATTATAAACTTAGCAACTGATATCAAAGAAAACTACTTTACTTTCTTAGAGTTGGGACCTGTATAATGTAACTGTTAAATATGTGAAGTTATAACACTATATAACAAATGAAGCATGAAAGATGGCCTACCGTCCTCGTTCACGACGTAAGTAATCATAAAATATTAATGTCATCATATACTTTTTGTACATATTTTTATATTTATTGTATACCTAGATGATCAGTTTTTGCTATTCGATCTGTATTTTGTAAATTCATGAGAACATATTTTGATTGTGGCACGTAATAGTTTTATGTAATATAGGTATTACATGGGGACTCAACCCCCTTTAACTTATGTCATATAGGTATTACATAGGGTCTTAATGTATACTGACAATGTTGTATGACTTTCGGAAATGTAACAAATGTTTCATTTGTTGCAGCACTAACTCAACAAGAACTTGAACAGCTTCTTTACGAATCGGATTTAAACCTTTCCGATGATGAAGAAGATGCCTTAGTTGTGTCGCCAAAATCAGATAATGACGATTCTGACTACATAAATTCTTCAGACAACTCGGACACCTCAGAAGAAACCTCAGAGGCTCCATCTGAGTCAGTATTATCACTCTCATCGTCACTAACACAAAAAACACGTACGTTTCGTAGATCTATCAGAGCAGGTTGTAGTCGTGGTGCCAGAACAAGAGTAAGACGTAGTGGAGGTCGCCGTAATGGTACTCCAGTACCATTACCAGTTGTAACTGATGCATGGACCGGTAATTTCACTCCCCTAGAAAAACCCCTTTACCAGCCAAGGTATAAAGATATGGATTGTCAGTTATGGACTCCCGAAGATTTTTTTAAGCAATATATTGATGACCGCATGATGGAAACCATGACTGTAGCAACAAACAGAACATATGTAGAAAGGAAAGGAACAGAGCTGAAGTTGACAAGTAAAGAGTTAAAAACATTTATTGGCATCCTATTTGTTATGAGTGCTATAGAGCTCCCGACGATTAGAATGTATTGGTCGAGAAAGTATGGTGTTTCAATCGTCAAAAATGCTATGACGCGAACCCGATTTTTTACAATCAGAACATCTCTAAAGGTTGTTTATGATGATGAAATGAATGATCAACAAAGAATAAACAAAATTTGGAAAGTCTTGCCTCTGTTCAACAGTATATTAAATGGTTGTCATGCTCAAATAAGATCTGATAATATAAGTATAGATGAAATGATAATACCTTTCACCGGTCATTGCGGAATTCGTCAATATTGCCCAGGAAAACCAAACCCTGTTGGTATTAAGGTTTTTGTACTTGCCAATCCCAATGGGTTAGTATGCGATATGATAGTATATCAGGGTGATTCAACATTTCCAGAACTTACAGCACAGAAATATGGCTTGGGTGAATCAGCAATTCTGAGTTTGTGTGAAAGTCTTGTTCCTGGTCATCACCTTTACTTTGATCGTTATTTTACGACAATAAAACTTGCTGATATATTACTAGAAAGAGGTTTCCACGCAACAGGCACGATTGTAAACAGGAGAGTCCCTCGGAATTGTATCTTTTCACCAGAAAAACAGTTCACGAAAAATCCAAGAGGCACTTCAGAAACGAAGGTTCGAGGTGATGGAAGTATTGCCATAACTCGCTGGTTAGACAACACACCTGTTACGATTGTGTCTACATACCATGCTGCTAACAACCCAGATCAATGCAGAAGATGGTCAAAACGTAAAAAGGAATACGAAATGGTTAATAGACCTGAGGTGATCAAAAACTATAACCGGTTCATGGGCGGAGTTGACCTTGTTGACAGAATGATGGCAGTCTGTCCGGCACGAGCACGTACAAGAAAGTGGACAATTCGTTTCATCAGCCACATGCTAGATTTAGCAGTTTGCAACTCTTGGTGTCAATACAGAGCAGTACTAAAGGAAAAACATGTACCAACCAAAAACATTCCTCAACTGAGATCATTCAAATTAGATTTGGGAGAGCAGATGATTTTGGACAACACTCAGTCCTCCGATTCTGAAACATGTAGCGACTACGAAGACCTGGAGCCAAAACATAAAAAAAGAAGAGTCGAAATTCAACCCATACCTGCCGAAGTTAAACGTCTTCATAAGGCTGAACATTTAGTGGACTATGCTGACAAACAAAATAGATGCAGAAAGATCAATTGTAAAAATACCACAATTGCATTTTGTATAAAATGTAAGATATTTTTATGTAGTACACGGAAATGAAATTGTTTTTTAAAGTTTCATACCAAAGACTGTCGGTCTAATACATTGTACTGTGTATAAAAATAATGAATAATAAAAGATTGTTAAAAAATATGATTATTTATTGTAGTCTTTCTTTCTTATGTTCGAGTTTATTTTCTTAATAGATAGACCCAATGTCATATATATATGACATTGAGAAAAGCCATATTTTCCATGGCATATTTTTTTTGTCATTTTTTGCTGTAAGTATAAGTCAAATAAAACGGCAAAAATCCAAAATACTTTGAAAATATTTAAAAAAATACTCTGGGTCTCAGGAGGATAAGAAAG